CTTAGCAGACACCTTCCAATCAGATGGATGCTACGGCCACATAAAGCTGACTCAGATGTGTTACCTGAGCCTGCAGCACCCTTAAAGTTCCAGTTCCAATATTGGACTGGACTTGAATTCAGACTGAAACTTTCCTTCCAGGAGCTGGGGGAGAACGGAAGATTGGAAAGGGGGTAAACTTCAAGAGGGGTTGATTTAATTTCCATCCTCTGCAGCTCTCCCTGGGAAAGAAGGAAGGAAGAAAAGGAGGGAGGGAGAAAGAGAGAAAGGGAGGAAGGGAGGGAGGGAGGGAGGAGGGGAAATAGGGAGCGGAGGGAAGGGATGGAGGATTCCCTGGCTTTTTGATTAAATGTCCCGGGTTGGCCTGCCCAGTTAACTAGACCGTTAATTAAGCGGTGCAGGATTCAACTGACAGAAAGGCCCTACGCCCCACAGAGATGGTCTGGAAACCAACCAGTCAATCGCCAGCGAGTGTGGAAGGCCAGCCGCGTTGCCTCTGACTCCTAAGGTTCCCCAGCCGGCGCCCCCACTCCCGCTGGGTCCTCTGAAAATTCAGCCACCCCCACTTTACCTAACTCCCACCCCGCCACCCTCCCGCATCCCTGCGCAGATGCCTAGGCCAGAGCTGGTGCCCTGACGCATCTATCACGCTCCACCAGCATCCACTCAGGCAAGCTAGGGCGCACAGGGTCTTGAGCAAATCCAAACTCCAGAGGGCAGAGGCTGAGGACCTGGCCTGCCGGTTCGGGTCGCTGGGTCTCATCAGAGCGCCAAACCAGCTGCCCTCCACTGGCCTCCGGGCCGCGCGGCCCAGCCTTCACGCCCGATCCTACTCGGGAGCCCGACTCCTTTCGGCAGCGGGCGGTGCGCTGCGGCGCGGCGGGACGCTGAGTGTGTGTGCGCGGCGCGGTCTATATTTACACCCCAAACAAAATAATTACACTTTTGTCGGAGGGAGAAAGCCAGTGATTAGGCGTAGGCTCTTTGCGGCAAAACAGTTTCTCAGTGGTACACCAGTATAATTTTTCACGGCTGGCTGAAATCAAAGAGGGGAGGTAATGAATCCGGCGAGCAATTTAAATTTACAATTTGTAACGCCGCCGCCGCCGCGCAGACCCGGCCGAGAGCGCAGCTCCGAGGAGCTCGCTGCGTTTGTTTAATGTTAAAGCCGAGCTGGCTCTCGGGGGTGGGGGGAGTATGAGGGGTGGGGGGGAGGGGTAATGATCGAAGTAGGGAGAGGACCGGCTGTGTAGCCCAAGATACTAGCCCGAGAAGAGGGCAAGGAGCGCGGGGACCTCCCGGGTTCCCCTGGACACCGCGGCCCCCAGCGAGCGCTTTCCCCAAGAAACCAGGTCACTCCCGGCCATTCAAACAGAGATGATCCCCTAACGAGGAGCAAGGAGAGAGATTGGCCACCAGAGAAGCCCCTCATTCCTGCTCGACTGCAGAACCTGGCAGGCAGGAGACTTTTGGTGAGAAGTAGTGAGGGGCAACTGAAATATCCTCTTCGACCTGCAGGGAAGGTCAGCTCCAAACATCCAGAAGAGCCCTCATTCCGACCGGCCCCATGTCCCCGTGTCCCCGACTGAAGTCCAGAAAGGAACCCCAGACACACACACACGCCCCAACTCAGCGGGTGCCTCAAAACTCCCCACCCCAGGCGGGTGTGAGCCTCCTCTCCGGTAATTAATTACCGAACTCAAGGGGGAATATGCAAACCGCGTATTACTAACTACAGGGCTTAAGTGATTGGAAACAGATTATTATCTTGTTTGTCTTTTGTCTGTTTTACTTATCCCACTGCCGTCTGTCGAGTTGTAATGTTGATACTCTTTACTCTAGGAGGAAGATTTTTATATAGTAAATTCCATCAACATCTTGTATAAGTGACATTGCATCTCCATGTATTTCCCTGTTAAGACACAAGCGGTTTATTAGTTACATATAGGAGGGGATTTCGCTGCCTTGTCGCCATCTGTTAGCACTGTTAGGGTAGGATGTATCTAATAGTTGGTCTGCTGGCATTTTGCAAGGCTGTGCACCCGGGAAGATGATGGGCTGGAGAAGGCTGAGCTGGCTTCAGGGCAGCCCAGCTGGGGCCAGGGGGATGGGAACTGGGGAGGAGCAGGGGCTGTACTGAGGGCGAGGCCCTCAGGGCAACTCCAGGGGCTGTAACTCAGCCTGTGGGGAAGGTCAGAGCTGAGCTTCTAGAAGCAAATTCCTCATCTCCCACAAGCAGGGATTCAGCCCCAGGTAACCCACCAAATCCCCATCTAGGGCTGCTGTCTGATATTTTCCCCTATTCTTGCAACCTCCCTGGCCTGACAACATGGTGGTTGGGGCCTGGCTGTGCACCAGCATTTAAGCCTTCCAGGAGAGGAGGGCAAGTGGGTTTGTATGAGAGTCAGAGGGAGCTGGGACACAGTCTCCCACTACTGGTGTGTGAGCAGTGCCCAGGCTGGGAACACACACCAGACCTGGCTCTTCAGATATTTTCTGTGGGGTTTGGGAGAGTGGCTCTGTGTACCTACTCTGGAGCCCAGAAGAAGGTAGCCAAATGGATGTTTTTGATGACTGTAGAGTGGGTGGCTGGGTGGGGCATGCAAGTCTGCTCCCCACACCCCAAAATCTGTACAGCGCACAATGGGAAATGGTAATCTCAGCATGGAGCTGGATGCTGGGTTGGAAGCCCCAGCAGAGTGGCCAAGGAAAGAAAACCAAAAAAAAAAAAAAAAAGAGAGAGAGAGAGAGAGAAAGGAAGGAAGAAAAGAGGGAAAGGAAAGGAGAAACAGAGGGAAAGGGAAACAGAAAGAGAACAAACAATTGTTGAGCATAAAAGCGCAACAGAAATAGAAAAGAAAACAGACACGATGAATTCAGGAGAGACAGAAAAAAAAAAAACAGTGAGACAAAGACTGAGAAGGCAGAACAATTCACTCCATTGGGAGCCTGGGTGCCTCTCTCCTCTCTGAGGTTTTATTTCTTTCCATCTCTGCCCTGCCAGAGCTCAAGGATCCCAGCTGGGCAGGGCCAGGTGCTACCAGAAACTGCAGTTTCGTTTGAAGCCTCTCTTGGCTGGGCCTGGCAGGCCAACTGAGATCATCCTGCTTGTTCCAGCAGGCCAAGGCTCTAACTGTCCTCACCACTATACAGTGTAGGCACCTGTCCCTTGACAAGCTGGAGGATCAGGTAACGACATCAACAAGGCACAAGCTACCCAGGTCGGGGACTTCTTTTCTGGAGGCCTGGCTGGTGTGTCTACCCCCCATCCCATGACAGGCAACTATCAATTCCCTGACCCCAGCAAGATCACCTCCCCTACACACTGTGGGGACAGCGCTAGACCTGGAAAGAATCAGGGGGACAAGTGAGCATCTCTGTTCCCCTACAAATTTTGTTCCTCTACCTCCAATTCATGAAAGTAAACACTGTTAGGAATCACACAAAAACAAACATAACCCCCCCAAAAAAACCTATGGGAGTTGCATTAAAAATACTACTGTTTGTACAAATACACACACACACACAGAGTGATAGCACACAAGCATAGATCTTCAAAATTCTGTACTCACAAATACACCCAACCCAGCTCAAGTTCTCAGCCATGCACATGTTCACCTACACACGAACACGTTCATATTTTTAAGTACACCTTCATATCAGTGTTCACACACAGACAAATGCGTACACATGCAAACACCCTCACAGGCACAGGGTCTCGAGTAAGCATGCACACACACATATATGCAGCCCAGCAAAAGTAAAAGTGCACACTCTGATGCATACAAATACTACACACAAGTATAAACACACAAAAATTACACACCCCAAACGCAGTCACAAGAGGGATTGCTAACACACTAAAAACAGATGCAAAAATGCAATTGTCAAACAGTGAGTATGCATGAAGAAATTCAGGAAATACGCCTGAACGAATGTTCATAGCCACGTCTGGACACAAAGCCCTCTAGTTCCAGCCCTGGGGCCCAGGCCCTACCTCCTCAGCCCTCTTTCCCCTTTCCCTAGCTTGTCAGCGAAGAAATTTTTCCGCGGTGCTTTCCACCTCTCCAACTTGGAGAGCCCATTGGCCCCAAGGGAATGGAGGCCTCCCCCTCAGCCCTGCCACCCTCTCCCCAGACACACCTGCGGTCACCCACACACGCACACTCCCCCACATCCCTGGTGGCCTGCCATGCCCTGGAACACACAAGCACGAGCACATGTGTGCCTCCCTGTGCCCAGCGAGGGACTGAGCTTGCATACTCAGGCTGCACGCGCTGGGAGCGCAAACAACGCCCACGCAGTCGCTGGCGTCCCCTGTTTCTCCAGTGCCACCCACTTGTCACAGTGCCCACTGCCTGACCAGAGATCCAGGCAGTGCGGCAAGGGAAGGAGAGACTTGGTGAGTGCCACCTCTGAGGTTTCCGAGTGCGGGAAGACCCATCTACCCTGAATCTCCCCCTCTCCACATCTCCCTCAGAGCTTAGTAAGTGGAGCGCTCTGAGCTGAAACTCCGGAGTCCGGGACCAGGCCAAATGGCACCACCTCACCATAACCGCCCCAACCTGGGCCTGGGCCTGGGGCTGGGCTCTGCAGCCCCAAGTCGCCCTTTGGCTCCACTAGCTCTCTCCAAGAGAAAGACGCGGCTGGCCCCAGCCCCGTGTATGACAAAAGAAGCCGGGGCCAGCTCCCGGAGCCTGGAGAACTACGCTGACGCAGCTCTAGGGCGCAGACCCCAGAGGCTCGGGAGTGGGTGAGTCCAATCTGGGAGGGCTGGGCTGGGGAAGGGGAGGCAGACGTAGAGCGCGCTCCCGGCCACGGGCAACTTCAGCAAGTTCCAGGGACTGCGAAGAGGGACGAGATGCCTTCCAGGCTAGGCCTTGGAACCCTGACCCTCAAGTATTTGTGAGCGGAGAGAGAGGAAGAGAGATGCAGTTTTCGGATCCCGTAGCCCCCGCCCCCAGCCCCAAACTGGAAGGTAAATACTTACTTAGCCTCCGAACCAGGTACAAGCTAATACTCAACAATACTGATGCCTTGTTTTTTTTGCTCTGTCCGGACCGCAAAGCTGTGGCCAATTTAGATATGCTATAAATTTAAGAGGTTGCCATGGCCACGGTGCGCCCATTGGCCGCTGGGCCCCCTACGTGCCGCGCCACGTCACCAAATCTGAATAAGGATGCGCGAATTAGGCGGCGGCCAGACAAAGATGAGGATCCGGACCGCTTGAAAGTGGGGGAAAGTGCTGGCGCCTCAGCCACCGGGAAAAGCAGCTCCGCAGCGCGGAGACCAGCAGCCATCCGAGACACCTGGGGGAGCCCGAAACAAGCGCCGGGGCGCGCGGCCTGTGGCATGAGGTGGTGAATGCCACTACCCCCTATCCCGCTCTGGGCAGCCCGGCGCCAGGCCAGCGATCGCCCAAGGACTAGATCGGCTGAGTCTTGGTCCGGACCAGACTCGCCCAGCTGCTGCTGAGACTAGAGCCAAAGCCCAGCGGCCGGCCCGGAAGGCCTGAGGGCCAGGGGCCCACAGGGAGGGCAAGGCGGCCGGAGCCGCCGGGGCGCTGGGCTATGATGGTGCACTGTGCAGGTTGCGAGCGGCCCATTCTCGACCGCTTTCTGCTGAACGTGCTGGACCGCGCGTGGCACATCAAATGTGTTCAGTGCTGCGAGTGCAAAACCAACCTCTCAGAGAAGTGCTTCTCACGCGAGGGCAAGCTCTACTGCAAAAATGACTTCTTCAGGTAAGAGGCCGCGCCGCCCTGCTGCCTGCGCGCCTACCCTGCGCGCTCCACTGGGGCGCTGGGGAAGGGGAGATCTCGAAACCCACCCCAGCCTCCCCGGCTCACAAGCTGCCATGCGGAGCAGCGGAGCACTTTGGTCTCCTCCTGTTCTCGGTCCGGGAAAGAGCCTGAACCCGGCGGAAGAAGGAGCTGCGTGGCTGCCTCGCGGTTGCTCCTCCAGGCCGGCTCCCAGCGGTAGCGAGTCAGGGACAGGAAGCCCAGACAAACTTGCTCTCCACCCATCCCAGCCCCTTCGCGGAGGCTGCCACACCATGACTGAAGCTTTAATCCCCATCCCTAGAAAGGAAGGATTTTTGCTGGGGTTTAGGGACAGCTGGGGGCTTCTCCCTGGGGCATAACGAGTGAACCCACAGGCTGCCCTCCTAGACAAGCAGAAACTTCTCAGCTCCAGAGGGAGCCCAAAGATAAAAGTGTTCCCTGGTGATGGGGGGAAAGAGCCTCCTCCCTCCTCCCCTCATAACCCCTTAAACATTTTCTTCCATGTTGAAAAGCACAATCGAAATGGAGGATAAGAATTAGGACCTGGGGGCTCTATCCTATGTCCTACCTCCCCCACCCCCACCCCGCAGCCCATGCAGGCCCTCAAGTGGGCCAGGGCAGATGTCTCTCTGGGCCTCAGTTTCCCAGCCGGGAAATGTGGAGGGACAGCCTGGATGCCTGTAGGGTCTGGGGCAGCTTAGCCCTGCCTGCTTCCACCGGTCGTCAAGGGCCGGCTTTGTGAACGCGAATTCCGGGCGCCAAGGAAGGGGGGCGTGATTAACACCACGGCAGCGCGCCGGCCCCAGCGGCTCCGCACTAGGGAATTTGAATAGAAGAAAATGTCAGCCGCGCCTTTACACGTGTAAACTCCCCGGCCCCGAGGCCCAATGCCCCTAATGTGGCGGTGCTTGCAAAGCACCTAATGATTTTTGATAAGGTGCATATGGCCAATTACGCCGCCGGATAAGGCCAAAAGTGACTTATGGCTTCTAATGCCCTCACTACATCAATGTCACCCAAATTCGCCCTGTTTAGAGATGTGGGTGTAAGTAGATGTAGGATCCCCAGAGTCCTGGGCCCACCCCTTCCCCCCCAATCTGCACCTAACCCCTGCACCACCTATTTCAGGGGAAACTACCTTTCTCCCTGGGCTTAAGGATGAAAGAAAAGGAATTAGATCAGGAATGTGGGAAATGGGGGACTGGAGAGATCCCTGTCCTGGCCATGCAAGGTTTATGGTTACCTTCTGTTCACATGCCCCTGCTGCCTCCCAGGGCCTGAGACTGGGGCTGGGGGAGGGCAGGTGGTAGCGGGAACTCAGCCCTTGCTTCCTCGAGTCTATCCCTGTAAGATCCTGCTGTCCACAGCTCCTGCTACTTCCATGGTTCCTAGAAAGGGGACTAGACAACTTCTCAGTTGGTTCTGGGAATCAGTGGAAGGTCCCCCTTTCTGCTATATCTGGTCCAGGAGAGGGACCAGACCGCACTTCTAGGACCGTCCAGCTAGAAAGATTGGCCCTACTTGGGCACCAGGAGACTAGAAAGCCTCCAGGAGGGAAAGCCAAGAAGTGGTCCAAACCCTGCCCTCCCTCCAATCCTTCATGGACTCCGAGTTTGCCTACAGCAGCCCAGACATATCTGGCTGGGTAGGGGAGGCAGCTTAGGATACTCTGGGTTCTCTATTTGGTTCAAGGCTGCACCCACTGCCTTCCCCTTTACAGCTCAATAGAGTCTGAATAAACTCTATGGGGGCATGGCTGCCTTAGTCCCAAGACCAGCCCAGGACATCTGTGCTGCTTCTCCTGCTCTGGCCAGGGAATGCAGGATTGGGGGTCCGTTTGACAGATGTGAAAATAGAGGTTTCTCAGAAGTCAGGGTGGGTGGGAAGAGGTCAAGGGCTGAAGAGGACTGGACAGACCCACCCCACAGTGATGGGCACCTTGTGTCTGCAGGCGGTTCGGCACCAAGTGCGCTGGCTGTGCGCAAGGCATCTCACCCAGCGACCTGGTGCGCAAGGCCCGCAGCAAAGTCTTTCACCTCAACTGTTTCACCTGCATGGTGTGCAACAAACAGCTGTCCACAGGCGAGGAGCTCTATGTCATCGATGAGAACAAGTTTGTGTGCAAAGACGACTACCTGAGCTCGTCCAGTCTCAAGGAGGGCAGCCTCAATTCAGGTACGAAGCCCCCACTGCTCTCTAGCCTGTGCCCTAGGGCCCTCCTGCTCTGCCCTACTTTGCCTCCTGTGAGTCGTCTGTGCCCAGCTCACAGTTCTTGGCTCTGGCTCACCCATCAAGCAGTTCCAGGGCAAGGCAAGGGGCTTAGAGGTTGGGGAAGAGAGACAACGTTGAAGCCAGTTTTACGGGAGATGTGGAGCCACCAGCTATTTCCTGCCTTCCTGGACAGGACGTTCAGGAGGCTTTTCCAAGTGGCCCTCCTTCCCTAATTTGAAACCCCACAATTCACCCTCTATGTCACTCAGGTAATTTCTAGGTGCACTGGGAGGACATTGATTGCGGTGTAGAGGAAGGGGAGAGAGAGAGAGAGAGGAAGACCCAGAAGGCCTGCTCCCCGCCCCCCTTTCTCAGGAATAGCTAGATGTGCGGAGAGGGCTTGAGAAGCCCTTCCGAGGGCCCAGCCCCGCCTGGAGAGAGTGGGCGGGCGCCAGGTCCCTGGGGGAGGGGCTGTCGCAGGTTTGGGAGGGAATCCAGTGCAGCCCGCGTTGCCCTGGGCCGGCTGGAACCAGCTCCTGGAGTGGAGAGGCGTCCGGCCGCCGTTGACGCTGCTGTCCCCTTCCCGATCCGTCCGCCCCGCAGTGTCATCCTGTACGGACCGCAGTTTGTCCCCGGACCTCCAGGACCCACTGCAGGACGACCCCAAGGAGACGGACAATTCGACGTCGTCGGACAAGGAGACAGCAAACAACGAGAACGAGGAGCAAAACTCTGGCACCAAGCGGCGCGGCCCGCGCACCACCATCAAAGCCAAGCAGCTAGAGACGCTCAAGGCCGCCTTTGCCGCCACGCCCAAGCCCACGCGCCACATCCGTGAGCAACTGGCGCAGGAGACCGGCCTCAACATGCGAGTCATCCAGGTGCGGCCTGGGCTTGATCATTCCTCCTTGGCCCTGCCTTGTTGAAAAGCCGGCAGCCTCCTTGGCACGGAGTGCGCCGGCTTCTCTTCTAGGAACAGACGGTGCTCCCGAGGTCCGGAACTCTGAGCCAAAAAGATTTAACCTAGCCCTGCTGTCCTCCTGGCTGTGCGATTTGAGGCGAATCACTTCACCTCTCTGAATTCTGTTCCCCCGCGTTGTTCAGGAAGGTTTTAAGCCTCTCTAGGGTCCAGGACCCCTCCTTTCCTCCCACCTTCGGAGCAGAGAAAGAGGCGATGTTCGTCACACGCCCTCTCCCTGCACCAGAGCCCGGCTCTGGAGCCAGGGGGCCAAGGGGAGAGCCATGCCGGGCAGGAAGCCTTTATAAAGCCGTCAGGCCGCCGGCAAACCCAGGATTGGGAAGCCCAAGTCTTTATGAGTCGCCCCACGGGTCCGCGAAATCCTTCACCCTTGGCTGGTTCGCCGAGGCCCCTTTCCACCCCTCCCGGTTTAATCCAACCCAGCCTCCTCCTCCCGGGAGCCCGGGTGAGCAAGAGGCGCTAGGACCCAGCGGGGTCGACCCAGGCGGGGAGGGGAGGACTGTGGAGGGCTCGCCTGACTTGGAGCTCACAGCCCCCTCCTGCGTCCCAGGTGTGGTTTCAGAACCGAAGGTCCAAAGAACGCCGGATGAAGCAGCTGAGCGCTCTGGGCGCGCGGAGACACGCCTTCTTCCGGAGTCCGCGGCGCATGCGTCCGCTGGGCGGCCGCTTGGACGAGTCTGAGATGTTGGGGTCTACCCCGTACACCTACTACGGAGGTAAGGAGCGCCCCGAACGCGCTGCTCGGTACCTCTGCCTGCGCTGTTATGGTTGATGAAGGCGCAGGACCTAGGCCAGAGAGTTTACAGCCGCCCAGTGATCCCCATCCCCTCCCCCTCGCTCCCTTTGGGAATTGCATCTCCCAGGACATGCATTTAGGGACACATGCCCACTGCCCACACCTGGACATGGAGTCAGAGGCATGGACTCACCCATACAATGCCACATACAAGATACGCAGTGACACACTCAACCCTCCCTTCACCCATGCAGGACACATGAGTGCACCCTCACGCACATTGGCATTCAGAGAACTCCAGAACATCTAGGCACACAATCACGCGCAAATACGTTCCCACCACCCCAGGTACACTCGCTGAGACACACAAACTCACAGACACACACTCCCGCACTTCACACTGTAAATCGACACCACCCCGTCGCCCCGACGGACACACATCCTTCCTGCTGCCCTGGCCCAAGCGCCCAGTATACAGGGCAGAAGGCGGATTCCAAGCACTGGAGGGAAGCGCCAGTGGGGAGGAGGAGGATCTGGATTCACTCCAGTCGCCTGCTGGCTCACTTTGAAGGCAGCAACTCCTGTTCCACGGTGGCGGGGACTTGTGCGCACAGTGTTTGGCACAGTTAGCCCAAATGCCAGCAGTTGCTCTGGGCAGGACTCTGGCCCTACTCCAGCCCCAAGCACCCTGGGATTCATCCGGACTGGGGTGCAACGATTGAGCCAACCCCAGATGTCCACTCTGTCTTTGGGGCTGTAGAGAGTGTGTTTAAGAAGGAAGGAGATGGTGCTAGGAGGCTCAGGGCTGGGGTGAGCTCTCTCGTTTGGACACCCCCTCTCCCCTTCTCCCTTCCTTCTCTCCCTTCCTCTCGTTTCTCTTACTCTGAATTCGTGACCCCTGACTCCTGCCATCCCAGTTTTCTGAGGCTCCTAGCTCCAAGACCATGCTTGCCCTGACTCTGGTTCCTCCCCTTACCAAAGCTGTGCACTGAAGCACCTCCCCTCACCTTGCGCCTCTGAATTTGGGGAGCACCCAGGACTGCCTATGCCAAGGAGGCATCTGCGCTTCTGATTTACTCTGCATAGACCTGCTCAGGGGCGACTAGCCCAAGTCGGGGAGAGGCAACTTCTCTTAGAAAAGTGAGTTCAGTGGCAATGTGGGAGGGGGCAGCTAGGCTCCTAGGCAGACCTAGGAGGGAAGGTAAGAGAACCCCGCAATTGACCAGGGTGCATCCAGAGGCGAGGCCTGGGAGGTCAGACTTTGAGACCTGATCAGGGACCCTAGAAATTGTGGGCAAAATTCGAGGCTGCACTTTTTCTGGGGAGAGAAGCTGCGGTTGCAGAGACCAGGTTAGGGAGCCGCTACTGCCCAGCCCCCGGCAGCCGGGGTGGTGGGCGTGTCCTCCCGGGTTTCCAGTCACCTACTCTCTCTACCCAGTTAGCCTCCTTCTCGCACAAAATCTCGGCCCCAGAGCAGCGAAGCGGTGGGGGCCGCACTGGCCTGGAATTTTTCCCCGCCCGCGTCATTAAGCAAGGTTTCCCCCCAGGACCATTACATCCCCCCAATCCCGCCACCTCCTCTCCCTGCGTGCCTGCTGGATGGGGTGAGGAGCTGGACTGGGGGGCCTCATTCCCCGGAATGGGGGCCAGGACTCCCCAGTCCCAGCGAGGCAGCCACGCCTAATCCGCGCTGGGAGATCGCGGCGGTGGCGACCGGCAGCGGGCGAAAAAAGGGCCGGGCGGCGGGGCCGGCGGCTCCCCGTGGGAGCGCGGACAAAGCCCCAGCTGCGGCTTTTGTGCCCTTTTCAGACGGCGTTTGTTCCAATTACCTCCGGCCCGGCCGCCATATGGGCGGAGGCGGCGCGCACCGCGCCGGGCCGCGGCCTTCGCTGCTTTGCCGGCTTGCTGCGGGCCGCGGCCGTCCCCCACCTCCGTCCCTTTGGGGCCCCGATTTCACTGCTCTCAACCTTTACTTTTGGGGGAGAATGGAATTAATCGTTTTTAAAATGTAATTATCCACCATTTAGCTGTTTCCTAAACTGTGCCCAAGCTACGCCTCCAGCCCCCCCCCATTAGGACAGATTTCAGGGTTTGGAGGGGCCGGGCGCAGGCAGGAGGGGGCATCGGGAATTTGCCCTGTAACTGAGACCCCAGAATAGAGCGGGATACGGGGGTGCAGAAGAGACTTTGGCTTCTGGATGCGCTAGTTTCCCCGGCGTACAAAGCGGGTTGTTGTCACCGGTGCCTGCTACAAGGTGTTCCATTCGTGGGGTTCTCCACCTGAAGCCTTCAGGGACCCACCTGGATAAGAGAAGCAAGGTGTCCCAAAGGACCTGGAGGAAGGGCTGTGGGAGGAAGTTAAAGGGTGATGCAAAAGCAATTTGCTGAGGCAAGAGGGGCATGCAACCTGGTGTCCCTGCACCCCCTGAATTTGTGGGCAAAATGTGCACATGTGCATTTTTCCCGTGAGAGCGCTCACAGCTATCAGCAGGTTTGTGAAGGGCTGGATGTGCCCAAATGCTTCAGAACCTGAATGCCCTGGCAAACCCACCAGGATGAGGCTGAAGGATCCAGCCTTTGCCCCTGAGGCGCCCCCGGAGCTCTGGGTGTGACCCAGTGAATGACCAAGTCTTCCTCCCCCTCTCCCAAGTCTCTGGAACTAGGCTTTCTCTGTTCCCAGCCAGACGAGCTCCGGACAAATGGTCAGACCCCAGTATTCACCCGGATAAACACGAGGAGGGTCTATACTTAGCGGAGCAAAGGACTTGCGCCAAGCCTTGGGTGCAAGGAGACAGGAGAGGGCACTGAAGGGCTCCTGGAGCGCTCTGTGGCTGGATTCCACGCCCCAGGCCCAGCCTGCCAGCCTATTTGAGCTCCGGCTACTGGCCAAGTCCCAGCTTCTCCTGGGCGGGTCGTCGCCTGTGTCTCAACCACTCTACGCTCTGCTCTCTGTCTCACCGTTCATACTTGCCTGGTTTCTCTCCCCCAGCCTCTCAAGCCTCTGCATTGCTGGAGTTTTGGACCTGTCTCGCGGGTGACTCCACTGTCTTGAAATCTCTGGGCACTTTGGTCTCTATCAGCTTTTTCATTCCTTCATCTCTCACCGTCTGCCCCAGGTTTTTCATGCGTCTCTAACCGCAGCTTCTCAACTCTCTCTGCGTCTTCTCCACTCTTACCTGACCTCTGATCTCTTGGGCTCTCCTATCTCAACTGAGGATTTTGTGTCTCTTTTCCAGAGTCTGGGAGCTCCCCGCTATCCACCTCTTCACCTCTGGCAATCTCTCAAGGCCCCTGTCTCTCGTGGTCTCCGTGTCTCTCCGTACCTCTCTCCCTAACTCTGAGACTCTGTCTGGAATCTGGGTCTCTGGCCACAGCAGTCTTTCTCCACCTTTAAGGAAACTACGACTTTGAGGTCTCATCTTTCCATGCCTCTGTCCTTCACTGTCACAGCCTCTGAATCTCTCCGATCTGGCCTTTTGCCTTCTCGGTATCTCTCATTGTCTCTTTCCCCAATCTTACCTGTGAGTCTGCGACCTCTACCCTCTCTCTCTCGGTCTCCGCCGGCCTCTGCGGGTCCCTCTCTCTAACCTTAGGTCAGTGTCGTGCTCTTCCTTTATCTCCCCTGCTGGGGTCTCTTCCTCTAGTGACTTCCAGTCTCTGGCTTTCGTCTCTCCAGTCCCCTACCAGACTCCAGGATTCCTCACCTACTTCTCCTTCTCTCATCGCTCCGTGTCTCCTTCCTCCTCCCTCCCGCAGACTATCAAGGCGACTACTATGCTCCAGGAGGCAACTACGACTTCTTCGCGCACGGCCCGCCGTCGCAGGCGCAGTCTCCAGCTGATTCCAGCTTCCTTGCTGCCTCTGGGGCTGGCTCAACACCGCTGGGTGCGCTGGAGCCGCCGCTCGCCGGCCCGCACGCGGCGGACAACCCCAGGTTCACCGACATGATCTCGCACCCGGACACGCCGAGCCCTGAGCCGGGCCTGCCTGGCGCGCTGCACCCTATGCCTGGAGAAGTGTTCAGCGGTGGGCCCAGCCCGCCTTTCCCCATGAGTGGCACCAGCGGCTACAGCGGACCCCTGTCGCATCCCAACCCTGAGCTTAACGAGGCGGCAGTGTGGTAAGGCCACCAGGCCGCCCAGAACCCCACTCTGGGCCCCCACTGGGGTGCCTCTGGGACCAAGCCTCCCGAAACCAAAACTCCCCTCCCCGAAGCTATGCGGACGCAGTGGGAGATGTGGGTCTCCTTTAGGGGTTCTCTGTTGGGTCCGCACGCAACCAGGCAGCTGCTTCTCGGCTGGGGGCCTCTTCCCCTGCCTCCACCCCACAGATCTTCCGGAGCCCCAGCCCTCCTCCAGCGCTCTCCAGGCAGCCACGAGCAATTTCTTGGGACCAAAGTCAATACTTCATACTCCGGATGGTGAAGAGATCGCAAGCGCGCTCTTCCCTGCCCCCCACCCACCACCTCTTTGGACTGAGAGGTGAGGCCACGGGCAGCAACGGTGTTTTCTCCCCATCTCTACAATCCAAGTAGCATTTTGTAATCTTATTTCTCGCTCTGCTTTGCCCGTCTTTAAAAAAAGATAAGAGAGATGGAAAGGGAGAGAGAAGAAAGAGAGCAAGATGAGGAAGAGAGAGAGATGGGGAGAGCATCAGCCAGAGAGAGATGATGGAGCGACAAACGCTCTCGAATGGGGGTGTCACCGGGAAGACAAATCCACCTGCGCTCTGGCGCCCCCTGGTGGCTGATATCAAGGCTTAAGGTCAGCTTTTCTAGCAAGCTGGGCGGTCGGACATCGCAGCCCGGCTGCCTCCCCTCTTCCTTACTTTGTCGGTTATTTTGAGCTCGAGGGTGCAGGCTGGACTCAACACCCGCACATCCCGTTCCCTTCCGGGGCGAGGCGCCAAGGTTGCTGGGATCTGACCCACAGACCACTCTCCCTGCCCGGGGCCTGGAGGTTGGGCTGTCAGGATGTACAATATTATACTTTTTTGGAAGTTGAACGCTTCTAGTTTCCTTATTTTGTATAAAGAAGAAACAAATAAAGTATGTTTTTGTGTTTACTGTTTATTTATTGTACTCTAGTTATCTGGGGTTGGACATTTTTATATTTTTAAGAGGAGGGTGGGCAGAGTGAGGGAGGGAAGGCAGAAAGAGGTTTACCTAAAAAAACAACAAAAAAAAAACAAAAAATCAACTTTTTTAAAAAGAAAGATTAATAAAAAAATTCTTTTTTCCCTCAGTGCTGTGTGGTTTTCTGCTTTGTCCCTACTTTGACAGTGAAGCAGAGTAAATGAAACTATTCTTTTCTCTTTTCTCTTGGCTCTAATGTTAAACAGACTTGATAAATGCAAAGACCTCTCTCTTCACCCAAAGAGGGAGAGCTCCTTTGGTGACTACCAGGTTCATGGATGTGGCACTATATTTTGGCAGCTCAAAATCACCCCTGCTTCATGTGATACCCTAAGACAAGCTAGTGCATTCTATAGGTCTTCAGCATGTTTGATGAGCGGATGGATGTGTGGTTTATTTGTCTCTGGTACATCAAAAGAATTATAGTTGCACTCCTAACTATGGCCCCTTGTAATTCCAGGCTGCAAAAAAAAAAAAAAAGAAAGAAAGAAAGAAAAGAAAATGCTGGTTATCTCCAAGGCTATATTATTAGGAATGCAGTGTCCCCACCCTTACCCCAGGCTGTTGGGCTCCCTAATTCTTATGCAATTGAGTGCTTTTGTCCTTAAGTAAAGGCATGTTGGAAGGAGTGTTGGTTGAGATTTAGGAGGCTTGAGGCCACAAAGTCTCACTCCCTCTTTGCCTCAGTTTCTGTACTTTTAAAAGTGGGGTTGGAGGGAGTTCTTCCTTACATTCCCTTACATCTCAGGCACTGTAGGGATAGCTTGAGGTTCTGTCTCAAAAAAAAAAAGAAAAGAAAAGAAAAGCAGCTGAGAGAGAGAGAAAAATAAATGAAAGAGGATAGTGCATTGAGACTCGCTCTTTTCTACCCAAGCCTGGGGTGGGAGGAGCTGGCTTCTTTTAGGAGCGACCCGGAGAGGTGAGAGGATAGAGGATAGGGAGGTGAGTGGGCTGGACCACCACAGAACGGCCACGTGCTAGGAGCCCTGCTCATTCACCCTTCTTTACGCGGGCCTCCAGGAGTAATGCAAGGTGGCATGTGGCTTTTCCTTTATTTTCCTACAGCACATTTATCTTTATCAGACAAATGCTTACTTGCTCACTGTGGAAAATTTAGAAATTTCAGATTAACAAGAGGAAGAAAATGTCATCCAGAACCCAAGAACGAAGGTGATTCAGTTTTCTGTTTCTTTTACTTTGAAACCAGAGATCATACCCTGTACACACCATGTGGTCACCTGCTCTGGGTCACCCCGAAATACCTTCTAGACTCATAACCAGTCTTCACTGCCAGAGTTACATCATCCTGTATCGTCATTACCTAGCATTCCCTTGAAGGACTGAGCCACCCTTTGGGGGTTTTTGTTTTCTTTTTTAACAAATTCTATGTATTGCTGGACATTTGGGTTCATTTCCAAATTTTCAGCATTTTCAACCATACTGAAATAAAATCCTTGCAGCTCAATCTTGGGAATTTTATCAGGATAGCTATTAATTGCTTTCCCAGAAGGCTGACGGAAGTCAAGGGACTTGGCCAAGGTCACACAGCTGGGGAGTGGCAGAGCTGGGATTCCAGTCCATGTATTGGGTTGTGTTTCTGCTCCACTTATGTGCCCTGATTGTGATGGTTCTAGAGACCAAGAGAGAATTTGCAAGGTGGGCCCCATCTCTGCCAGGTTCCTGAATGCTTTGTGAATTTTGCAGCAGGGCTCACTCAGAAATTGTACCAGAGTGAGATGTGGGGAGTAAAGTGGCAGGAGGAAGACTCACCCTGTAATCCCCAGCAAGGCAAATGGGCTTGTGACAGAGTGACAGGCAGGCACAGGGTAAAGGATGAGGGAGGAGGGAGAAAGAGAGGCAGAGGAGGAGAAGGACTCCACAGAGTGTACCACTCAAGTCCCGTGGGGTCTGGGGATCCCCAGCCACTACTCAGATGGGGCACTCGGATCCAGAGGTGTCAAAGAGCTTCATCAATGAGGCCAGCAGAATGGAGCTGAAAAATGAGAGTTCACAGTAGACCCACCCCTCTGTCCTCCCTTCCGGTACACACACATGCGCACACACAAGCACCAGACAGATGCGTATGGGCCCACACATATGCACACTCACCTCTGCAAATACATGAACGCAAACGGAAACACAGGCACGTACAGACACATGTTAACAGGCCACAGACACACAAGCACACACCAGCCACATGAGCACACAGCTGCACATGCACACAGAGACACACATACATAGACATGCACACATGCATGTCAACACACATACGTATACAGGTGGGTGCTGATTTCTACAGGATTAACTCCCGATGGGCCTTTCCTCTGAGTGTTCATGACTAAAGAAGTTTGAGAGAAAAGGTCACCTGGGAAGGAGAAAGAACAGAGCAGGGTTTCTGAGGTCCCCAAGACTATCTGGCTGTGGAACTGGAGGCTGGTCACTCTTAAAGTTTGCTCCACTGTAAAATGGGCTCACGATGTCATTTCATCCACAGGATGTGGTGAGGATTGAAAAGAAGTAACTCAGTCTGTGGTCAAGGTGCAGGAGATCTAGGTCCTGAGGATTATTGGAATACCCACCTCCCCTTCCAATCTTACACACACACACACACACTCATACACATCCCAGCTTCCTTGAAGAGCCACAGTAGAAAAGAGAGGGCCTGACTCAGCCCCAATTCACCCCACTCCTATGAACTCACTAGCTCCCCACACCTCAGGAGGAGAAATTTCACCCTCAGCCCATCTGGCACCTACAAGCATCACGTATGGGGTACACTTAGTTAAGAAGGTAGTTCCCGAAAAATGCTGGGTAGGGAGAAGAAGTCAGGAAGGGAAGTTGGTCTCTCAGTATCCACAGGAATTTTCTCCAAGTATGACTGGAGGAGAATGCTTGCTAAAAACTCGTATCCACAGGCCCACCACACATAGTTGGAATTGCTCTCTGGGGCTTGGCCCAGGATGCTACACATTTATCAGACACCTCAAAAAAGATCCTGATGCCTCCCAATCTGCCAAGCCACTGCCTCCTGTGTCTGGGCCCCTTGACCAACATCTCATTCAGTCCTCACAACTTCCCTTCCAAAGAAGAATTGTTATTGCCACTTTGCAGATGAGGTGACTCAGAGCCAAGAGATGAAGTGAGCTGTCTTGGGTCACATAGCAGGGGACTGGAGGCCAGGTTTTGAATGAAGAACTTTTATTTTGCCGGTCATGCCTATAATCCTAGCACTCTGGGAGATTGAGGCAGGTGCATTGCCTGAGCTCAGGAGTTCGAGACCAGCCTGAGCAAGAGCAAGGCCCCATCTCTAAAAAGAATAGCCAGGCATTGTGGCAGGCACCTGTAGTCCCTGCTACTCAGGAGGCTGAGGCAAGAGAATCACTTCAGCCCAAGAGTTTGAGGTTGCTGTGAGCTACAATGCCATGGCACTCTACCCCAGGGTGACTGAGTAAGACTCCAT